CTCGCCTTCCTCCTTGCTGGGCATTACGTGGAGGTGGGGTGATGGTGCGAGATCGTCTGTGGGAAGAGGCGGACAGGCTCGTGATTGCACAAGCCCTCATCACCTTTGGCCTGTTAATATTAGCTCAATCTCCAGCCCAGGGAAGCATCAGCAAGCCCCAGAGTCACTGCCCCGACAAACATGGTTTTGATCACCTTGTTGACCTCTCACTTGGCCTTGTATGGTGACCCTGACCCTTATGAGTATGCAGCTTTAATCTTCTGTGGCTACCTGTTGGGAGTTTCCTCATCAGTGACGGCAGAAACTGAAATAAAACTGAGTGACTGAGTGGAGCAGAAACAACCGGAATTGTCAACCCAAGGGGATCTGAATAGTCACCATCTTGAGCCATTTCAATAATTGTGCCATAGAAACTGCTTCTAAGAATATATTTCTTCCTGGTGGACATTCCCTGTGTTCAGTGTCTAGACATTTTTTTTTTATTGCTAGTCATCATTCCTATAAATTAGTCTGATGAAGTGGCTTCAATCAGCCAATCATTTGTTTAACCATCTTATATTGAGTAAAGCATCCATTCACTCAGTCATCTTGTACTTTGTGCCCCCCTCCATTGCAGTTCAGGGCTACACACTGTGCAGGTGTGAGGTTCCTATACGTTCAGTGAACAATTTTGAATTACAAACTTCTTTGTGAAAAAGAACCAAGGGCATTGTAGAAACTCCATTGTTCTGTTTCTTATCCAGAGAATTGTCCTGGAGGTCAGTGTAGACAGTAGAACAGTTGTGCATTGCACATGGGTGCCTGGAAGAGGAAATGTAAGGGTAGAGGAAATGTGTGAGGCTTGAGATCCAATCCATATTCTACTTTGCTAAGTAGTGCACCTGCTGTATGGCAACATCTGTCTGGTAAAGGAAGAGTTGTTTACTTGTTTTGTTTTTGTTTTACTATTTATTATTAACACAAAGATACCATCACTCCAGAGACAATGTGACAAAACAAGTAAAATGTGAGTGGTAGAGCCTGGTGCTGGTGCCTCACACCTATAATCCTAGCTACTCAAGAGGAGCCCAGGCAAATAGTATCCCAGGCTCAAAAAATAGGGACAGCAATCCTGAAACAGGCTGAAATGAGCCTCATGCAGCTTACTAAACAGGCTCAAAGGCTTGTTTGTTCAATAAACAAGTGGCTAATGGTGAAGGTCAGCAGGACTGTGTAGGTCAGAATCAATACTAGGCTGATATCAGGTGTTTGCCCACTAGACACTGTGAGAATTGGTCACGGTTTCCTACCAGTCCTGAAAGGAGTCATGGTAGAGTAGAACGAGTATTTGCTCATGAGGAGTGGGTACAGGATTCCAGTTCTCACTGTGCCCCAGCTGTGTAGCCTTTGGTAAATCCCTACCACTTCTTGAAACCTCTACTTCCTGTAATGAGAATATTCAACTCTATTAAAGATGGCAAACATGTGGCCTGTGTGGCATTGCTTCTGCTCTCACACCCACGACCGGTATCACTCATCACCATGGCTCTATCTCCATCTTTGTTCAGACAGTTTCAGATTCCTCAAGATAATGCTTCAGGAACCACTCTCCTAGATCCAAGATGGCAGCCTAGATGGAGAGAAGCCACTCACTATCCAGTCTGACAGGGTCTTCAAAACGCCTTTCAGGTCCTAGGTTTTCTGAATCTGATCTTTTTCTTGGCTAGAAATTGACTTCATTTTGCATTCCCCAAGGTTTTCATGTTGTAAATATGTGGGATCTTTTCCTGTATCATGAATTGCCCTACTGTTCCATATCCCCCTCTCCCAGACCAGATATTCGTCATCCTCACTAAGACCTGGATTTCAGCAACTTCGTTATTTTAAGTAACCTTGTTCCTAGGAACCTCACCCTCTCTCTTCACTTACTGAAACCCTAGATACTAGTACAGGATGAATATGGTTTGTCACCCATACTCATGCAGGAGTTTAATCCCTAAAGACATATGCTAATGGTATTAAAAGACTGGAGTCTAAATTCAATAATGGTGTCTAAAAACTCCCCATGGCTTTCTAATAAGAGAGAGAAAGACCAGACACACAGATAGACAGGCATGTGTACTCCCTGTGTCTTGTCACATGGTGCCAGGAGCTGCCTCCACACTCTGCCAGCAAGAAGAGTATGACCAGAACTGAGTCAATGCCAATGCCATGCCCTTGAACCTAAAAAACTATGAGCTAAACAATCCTTTTCTCTATGGCTTGCCTGCTTCAAGTATTTAACTTAGTAATGAAAGTCTAAACATGCCAGAGCAGGATTATTTCATGCCACCTACGGATTATCTCACCACTTCCTCTACCCATTCCCCAGTCGTGGTTAATAGCTTAGGGTGTTCTCCCATAAAGAGATAGAATCTCAAATGATTTCTCAACCTGGTCTCCCAGGCAGCTCCAACCAATTGCTTAACATTGATATATCAGATAAAAACTGTTGGCCACTTCATCCTAAGAAAGGTGTTAAAGAAACTTTAGGGTGAAGTATTAAACCAAGAAAAATCTAGCTGTGTGTGTGTGTGTGTGTTCATAGGTCCCCAGATTCAAACTGGTGCTGTATGGATTACTTTCCTTTCAGTAGTCCTGAGTCTCCCCAAGCCTCACTCTTCTTCTGGTTCTTGTCTTACCTCTGTAGCAACATCAGAATGCACCTGTTTCTGAGAAGTCACCTAATAAAGTAGAACGAATGGTGTGACATCTCAGCATGTCAAGCATGCCTCAATCTCAATAAGCTGTTTGCTTGCGAACAAGTTACTAAGCCTTTGCCGGGATTGCCTGCAAAATATAACTAATGTATGCTCAAGGGGTTGTTAAGCACATAGCCTGCCCTGCCAGCTAGAAGACATCAACAAACAAATCAGAGTGGGTGTGCTCCTTGCACATGTTCTTACTGTCAATATTAGTCTTGTGTCTATATTGATTTGTCAGTCCTTGGGCCTCCTTGCCTGGAGCCATGCAGAGGGAGCAAAAATGATGACCTGGAGGAATGCAGCATGACTGCAAAGGGCTCTGAGTCCTTGGGGACATGGCCTGAGGTTGCTCTTTCTCACTGTAAATTTCCCTCCTTTAAGCCCAGCTGGGGACTACTGCTTTCAAGGAACCTCTGCTAAACACTGAAACTGCCTGGTGGGGGAGGCTTTATCTTCATGAATTCTGTCTGAATTTTGTTAGTCCAACAGAAACTTTATCTACTCAGGGTTTTTCCTGGATTTCCCATTTCAGTGCTTCTCCTACATCCCACCCCCATCCCAGAGGCATTTCAGGATGGACACAACAGGTACCCAGGGCCTCAAGTAAGACCTGGTTGTTGAAGGCCGTGACCAAATGTGCACTTACCTAATCTCTCCTCAATACTTACCCATGGTCAGAAGTGGATGGATGGATAGATGGACAGATGGATGGATGGATGGATAGGTGGGTGAACGGATAGGTAGATGGATAGATGGATGTGTGGGTAGATGGATGGATGGATGGATGGATGGGAGGGAGGGAGGAAATGGAAATTGGAAAGAACTTCCCTGACCAAGGGTGTCCCTGTCTTTGCTCTTCAGCAGTGTGACTTCCTCTCACAGCTAGGCCATCTCAGTGGTTTCTGTTCCTCCAGTTCCTCCATGGACCACTGAGCACCATGCCCTGTAGCTGGCACATTTGCCTGTGGAGGGAACAAGCTGACCCTCCCAGATGACTGAGGGCCAAGATCCGCAAGTGAGCTGCTGCCTTCTCACTCCTCAGCCCAGGACAGCTGTCCACAGAGGCCAGATTCAAGGGTGCTGCTGATGCATCAGTCTCCAAGGACACAGCCTGTAAGTAAAATTTACTTTTCCCTGGCCTCAGGTCCAGCCCCAAGGCTCCTAATTTGCCCCTGGCAAAATACCTCTCTGTAAGCTGAGGACAAAAAAGATGGAAGAAGCTAAGAATCCCTCAGCCTTGCAGGGCAGCAAGCACCCCAGGACCCAGAGGTTCACGTGCAGGTGGATCGCAATGTAAACAGGCACCTTATTCTGAAATAGGAAGCCAATGAAACATAAAATAAATCCCCTGGTTTTGGAGGTAGAAGAGCCAGGCTAGTCATTGACCTTGAGTAAGCACCTTGACCTCGCTGGGACCAATTTTTTTGCAGGGGTTGGTTGTGAGTCCCCTCAATGGTTCAAGGGAGAGGACTTTAATGAAGAGACTACACAGAGAGGTGTGTAAAAGGATTAAGGGAGGAGCACACAGGGGAGGCAACTGGAGTTGAACCCAGATCTGAAGGAGTAAATAGGATCTAGTGAGCAGGAGCTGTGGAAGACAGGTTGTAGTCAAGAAACAGAGAGGAATGTAGCAAGGGAGTGGGATAACACCTGGCCTCTCTTCTCCTGCCAAGGCTCCTACTACCAAACCTTAGAGGAAGCCAGTGTGCAGGAGAGCCTGGCAGTACAGTCCATAGGGCCAGCCTCACAGAGCACGGAAAGGGAAGATCTGGGCAGGGGACTGGCAAACAGTTGAGGTGACCAGCACGAGAGCTGGATTTTGACTATATATTGAGAGCTGATTTTAAATCCAGCATGGGAGTATTATGACTGAAGCCTAAAGACACCTGCGGGACACAGTTAGGCCTCTGCTTTCCTAACATCTATGATTTTATTGAACACCTGCTGTGTTTCACCCGCCCTGTTCTCTCAGCAGGCCTCACTCAGAGCCGTGCGGCAGGTGGTCCTACCTCCACTCACATCTGAAACCTCCATTGCAGAGGGGCAGGAAATTGTCTGACATCACACCAGAGAGCCAGCCAGAGTCAGGCCTCCAGTCCAGGTCTGTCTAACTCCAAACCTCCCTGTACCCAAGTGCTCACTGTTTGTTCCCTTTGTGTCCCCACTAAAACTGGCCCTTGATGAAAGGGCAGAGTAGCAGAAAGTCTTGGGGGTGACACACCTTGATCAGCTGCATGACTGAGCTAGATGATGGTACACTGTGTTTCTTTTTCTAGGATGGCACACTTCATTCTATCCATCTGGCTGCTGGTGGCCAGTCTGAGTCCTCGTTCCTGTGGCCAAGGGGCACCTGACAAAGAAAGTCCTCCAACACCAGTGACCACAGCGGCCTCCTCAGTCTTCCTGAACAACTGGCGCTTTGCCTTCAGCCTGTACATGCAGTTGGTGATCCCCAACCCAGGCAGAAATGTGCTCTTCTCTCCGCTCACTTTCTCTATTCCCCTCACACTGCTGGCCTTACAGACCAAGCCAGAAGCTTGCAAGCAGATCCTCCAGGGTCTTGGGTTCAACCTCACCAAGATCCCCACTGACCAGGCTCACATGCTGTATGGGCAGTTCCTGAAAGCCCTCCTGCCACCCCACGGAGCATGCCAGACAGACACAGGCAGCGTGCTGTTTGTGAACCACAGGCGAGACCTGGCACCAAAGTTCGTTCAGACAGCCCGGAGCCTGTTCCACACTGAGGTCCTCCTGGCCTCCCTGGAGAACTCTCAGACAGCCAGGCAACAGATGGACTCCATCATGCGGGAGAAAACCCACGGCAAAATCAGGAATCTTCTGCAAGACTTGGAGCCACACTCTGCCTTGATCCTGGCCAATTATATTTTGTTTAAAGGTAGTGAGCCTCTACTGATTATATAAATCTCTTGGTAGCTTTATTACCAAGTTAAGCCATCTTTTGTCCAAGGTGAAATTTTCCTCTTGTTGCCCTGGACTGAATTTCCTGGCTTCTCCAAGACTTTATTCTGTTGCCTAGCTCCTCTCTCCCTCTCTTTGGCCTCTCTTCTGACAACTTCTCCTGAGCATCTACTCTAGTTCCTTTGTAACTCTAGTTCCCTCTGTGCCACAACCAAAGTTTTGGCAAGGGGCGGTGCTCCATCCAGGACCAATTACATAATTTGCAAGGTCCAGGGACAAGTAACTATGTGGGACCCTTTGTTCCAAATTCACATGACAGAGGAGCATTAAACCACCTGTGGGGCCATATAACAGCCCAGGCCACACATCCTTGAAGCCACCCTGTCCATGTGAGCTGTACCAGAGCGTCTTCCATTCTACTGAATGCAAGTCTCACTTCTGGGCCCATTACACACCCTGTCTCAAATTGTTTTATCAAGTGCCTCCCACCCACAGCACAAAAGACTCTTTGTTGAGTCAGTGAACCCCACCTTGCCTGACTGCAGGTGGCTGTTTGGTGACTACCCCTCCTGGATGTTCTCATCTCCTGGGCTCAGTGTGGCCCTTCCTGATCCTCTCTCTCCCTCTGTCTCAGTGCGTCTCCCTCTCACACAGAGCCCATTGCCATGTTGACACTTTTTAGAGTGCATTCTAAGCCTTCTTTTCTTATTCTACAGTCTCCCTCAGGCAGCTGGACCACTCCAACAGCCTCTAACACTCCAGAGGGAGACTCCTGACTCTATGTCCAGACCCAGGTCTCACCAACCATTTGGTCACCACCTCCTTCTGAATGAAGAATCCCAAGTTCAGCATGTACCAAGCTGAAAGTATCTCTTCATGCCACCTCCTCCACCCTTCAGAGTCACCTCTTCCTGTTCCTCTCTTCCAAGACTCAGTACATAGCCCCAACTCCTGATAAACCCAGAACCTTGAGGTCCCCTCACCACCAGCTGGGGAGGTCTGGAGTTTCTCCTCTCTCTACACCACACACCAAAAGAGAACCCACATGCTGTGGTCTATGGCTCCCTTGTCTCTCTTCCTTCTGACCACTGGCCTCTCTACAGCCACTATGCTTATTCAAGTTCCATTTGTCTTACCAAAACCACTGCTTCTTAGTGGGTCTCAGTGGGTCTTCCTGCTTGTGGCTTACCTCCTCCAGCACCCTATCTCAACTTCCACACTACAGTCAGGGCAAATTTGACCTTGTACATCACTGTTCCAATCCAACTGTAACCCTTGGGATGATGTCCCCCAAGGAGGGATGGTGAGACCCTTAAAGGACCCAACCCTTGTTGACTCTTTAATCACATCTCGTTCCTCTCCCTATCCTTCCTCTACAGAAAGCTGTGACAGATTGGCAACATGAAAAACCATCCTCTCCCTTCCCTGTCCTGAGCTGCATAAACCCTGTTGCCTGTTAGCCTTCCACAGGCCACCACCATCTTGGAGTACCCTTTGCTCACCACCTCCCTAGCCAATAGGGACTCATCCTTCAGGGCCAGCTCAGAAGTTACCCCCTGCAGGAAGATTTACTTAACCAGCTCCTCTAGGGTGATTTGCTAGCTTTAGGAACAATACAAAGCAACAATAAATAAAACATACATATATTTAACAATTACTGTTCCTCTGAAGTTCAGGTTTACTGGACATGCTATATTTTATCTGGCAATCCTTCCCATCACCACCCCCAAGTAAGTGAGAAAAACTCTTTGGTTCTAAACACACTGAGTTTGAGGTGCTTCTTGGACATTTGGATGGAGGTGACCAAGTGGCCAGTGGGGATGTGGGTCTGGCATTTGTGAGAGGTACAGGCTGGGTAGAAAGCCAGGAGCCTTCAGTGGGCAGGACAATTTCAAGATGCTGGTGGGATTGACCTTGCCTCTCCTGTGTCCTGGCAGTGCCACATTCATCCCTTCTCTGAGGAAACATGACGTGGTAATGGTCTGACAACTTGTCCCAAGATCACAGGCTCCCTCGTGCAGGAAAATGGATCCATTTGTATAACATCTGACTTTGCAGCATACAGACATTGTCAAGGTTGCAGAGCTTAGAAAGTCAGTAGCTCCTGCCCAGTCAGAACTCAGGCCTCAGTCCCTGCCAGAGCTAGACATGGTAACTCCTGGTCAGAGCCTCAGCTGCCAGGCAGTGAAGGCAGGAAGCTGAGTTGACTCCCCCCACCCTGCTGCACCTGCCTGAGCTCTGAGCACACAAAGTGGCATTCCAGCTTGTCTGGCAGACACCAGAGGAGAGTACGCTATCTTCCATTTGGCAGAGTTTCAGTGAGCACAGTGATAATAAAAGTAACAGCTTACAAGTATTCAGGAACTGTTGAGTGCCAAGATCATACTCAGGGATTTGTTTCTTGCATCTTATTGAATGGTACAGGTACCCAGTAAGGGAGATACCACTACCCAGTTTACACAGGGGGAAACTGACAGACCCTTTCCCTCTGCTTCACCTTCCACTCACCGCTCCCTCACTCCTTCTGCTCCAGCTACACAGGCTTTCCCATGTCCCTTAAGCATATCTGGAATATTCCCCCCAGATATGCCATGGCTTATCCTCTCCTGCTGTCTTCCTCACCTTCTCAAGGAGATATTACATGAAATTATAACTCTCCCTCCTGGCGTCACTTCTTATCTCAGCTAGCTTTATTTCTCTCTATAGCTCACGTCACCACCTAACACATTTGTTCTCATATTTACCCTATTCTTTGTGTTTCCCGCAGTAAGATCTGTGGGGACAGGGATCTCTCAGGTGTGCCTGGATCACCTACCTGGCATGTAGCAGTCTAAGTTATCTCCCAAATGGCCTGAGCCCTGGCTGGGTATCGTGTCCCTCTGAAGCTGCCTGCTTTCTTATCAGGGAAATGGAAATACCATTTTGACACAAAGCTCACCGAGATCAGACCATTCTCAGTAAGCGAGGGGCTCACGGTCCAAGTGCCCACCATGCAGCGACTGGGCTGGTTCCACATCCAGCATTTCTCCCGCCTACGTAGCCACGTCCTCCAGCTCCCCTATGCCTGCAACCTCACTGCAGTCCTCATTCTCCCTGATGTGGGGAGGGCCAAGGAGGCCGAAGAGGCAATAATGGAGGAGAGCTTTGAAACATGGACTCAGCCTTTACCCCTGAGGTAAGACCCCAGCCAGCTCTGTCCCCTGGGCAATGACACTGTCGCCATAGTCATCCAGCCTCACTTTGGGGGCTGAGATGCTTCTGGTTTTGGGCCATAACATGAGGGTTTGGGATGAGATCACACACTAATCGTCGGATAGGATCCAGCCTCTCCCTCCTCCTAGAGAAGGGAAGAGTGTGCCAGCACAGAAAAGCCACCACCATCACCAACACCTTCATCCCCATCTCACCACACTGCATCTTCCTCCCAGTTTGAAGCATTGGTAATGAAATGAACCACATGAGCCTAGACAGCTAAGACCCAGTATTTCCCAAGCAGGATTTGCACATGGCACACAGTATAGCCACAGCTCCATGGAACCCACAGTCAGATGACTACCATAGAATCGTCCTGCAGCTCATAAATGGCAGCAGTCAGTACAGCCCATAAGCAGCTCAGAGGGAGGCAGGACCAGGCTCCTTTACCTGTCACCTTGTGAGGCATGCTTTATAGAAAAGTCCTCTCCTGTGTGCCACCATGCTCAGATCATTTGATTACTCTAATGTTTAAGACCTTTGCTATTCAAAGTCTGCCCTATAGCCAGCATCACTGGCTTCGTCTGGGAGTTTGCCATAAATAGAAGATCTCAGGTCCACCCCACCCCTACAAATCCAAATCTTCACCTTCATCAAATCCCAGCTGATTCACATTAAAGAACAAGAAACCCTGACCTGATCCCAGGTAAATCCCATTGCTTCCAGACAGATCCTCCAGCTCCCCATCACTACAAACCACCAAATGGTGACCTGCATGCTGTCACCAAGCCCCGTCTCCACACTCCTCCTCAGTCCTCTGTCCTGGCCCTTTGTTCTCAACCTCAGCACATTACAGGCTAAAGCATCTTTGTTGTGAGGGGGCTGTCCTGTGCATTGTACGATGTTTAACAGCATCCTAGATGCTCTACCCACAGAATGTCAAAAGTATCCCTCCCCCAAGTTGTGACAACTAAATATGTCCTCAGTCATTGCCAGATGTCCTCTAGAAGTCAAAGTCACTCCTGTTCTAGACCATGAGTCATATGTGACCTGTGAGGTCTGGAAGGCAGGACCTGGCACTGTGTTCAGTCCCCTAAGTCTTCATTCCCTAAGTCTTCATTGACCCCCAATATGTGTCTGAGACAACAAAGAATGAGCCACGATCCTAAAACCCTCCCCAAGCCAGCAGCCTGGCTCCCCATTGTCGGTTTACCCAGCTACACACGAAATATCTGGAGCTGGTAGGAGACTCTGTCCAGGCCAGCCACCAAGGCGTCATGGGGGAGGGAAGCAGACACCTTCCTTGTGGCTGAAGCAGTTGAGACACTAAAGCCGGCAGCATCCCTGAGCCTATGCCACAAAGCCACCATCAGGCTGCCGTGCAGGCAGAGTCCTCACAGCTGCTTGGCTTTGCTTTTTAATTTTTGCATTTCTCCCAGCTCTATTGAGGTATCATTGACAAATAAAACCTGTGTGTATTTAAGATGGGCAGCACAATGTTTCAACGTAATAGTTAAATGCTTACCAGAATCAAGCTAACTAGCATAGCCGTCCCCTCACACAGGCCCCACAGCTGTTCAGGTCTGCAGGCTTTGCTATTTCAAGACTGCAGTACAGCAGCAATGTCTTCAGGCCCCATGCTGCCCAGTGGTGGCCCCGAACCATCCATCCCACCTAAATGAAACTTCAGCCAGCCCTGTCTCCCATCTCCCCTCCTCCCAACCCACAGAAACCATCCTTCTGTTCTCTGCCCCATGAGTGCAGTTCCTTAGATTGTTGTGTGAATGAGACCACTTCCCCTCATATGCTTTTGAGGTGTAGATATGGAACCATTAACTAAGGAGCAAACAGGGCCTTCCCAAGACCTTCGAGGCCATTGGCACTGGACCTACAGAGAGAAGAACATGAGACAAGGCTGCATTAGGCCAAAGACAGACAGACAGACAAAGAGGTTTTCTTGTTCCACTGGATGAGGGGCAACCAGAACCCATCTGAGAAACGGCAGCACAGCTCAGAAATGAGCTTCAACTGTGAGTCAATCCTCACTGTTTAGAAACAGTGTGACTTTGGCCAAACTCTTTGCCTTTTGTCCTCCCATCCCGCACCACCATTTCTCATTTGCAAAGTAGACACTCTGAGCACCCATCCCCAGAACTACTGTGAGACCCAAAGGAAATTCTCTGCAGAGAACCTGCAAGGCCTGCTTACTGCAGGCTGGCAGTCTACACGGCTGGCACTTGTGTTGCTGTTTTGTGTAGTGAGATTGTGAGCAGGGCAGTTTGCCGGATGACATCTTTCAGCTGTTTTCTCTCATTGTCCGTAGTAGCAGGAGGAGGCTGTATTTCCCCAAACTCTCCCTTCATGAGAGTACTCAACTGGACGAGCTTGTGCTACCCGCCAGCAGCTTGGATATATTCAGTTACGATACAGACCTCTCAGGAATTTCCCTGCAAACCACATCCATGAAGGTCTCCAAGGTAAATTAAAAGCTTGTTTATAATGGTACATGCATTTTCTGCCTTCCAGATACACCCAGTAAGCCCTGACAGCCACAGCCACAGCCACTCCAGAGCTGTTTTGCTTAGTGACGTCAAAGGTGGGAAATAATGACAGATTACAACCTCCAGTGGGGTTCTGAGCGCTACTGGCTGGCTCTCAGAGAAGTCTGGGTAGTGAGGGTCCTGAGCTCACCACCTGCTGGGGTGAGGGGAGGAGCCTCTGGCTAGGATTTCTCTGAGAGCCAGCCAGTGTTCCTTCCACACCCAGGAATGGGCACCCCATAGTTAGGGGTAGGGGAATTACACAGGAATAGGTCAAGCTATAGAAGGGGGTTACATAGGGAATGTGAAGGGGGTTGTACAAGGATGGAGTGGGGATGAGACCCACACACACACAGATGGAGTCCTGAAGTTTTAATAGTACCTGGAATTCTCCAGGGAACAGAAAGAATTGGCCAGAAAGACTGGCTAGCTTCAGGGGAAAGGGTAGCTGCAGGGGATAGGCAGGAGCCAGTGGGGAGCTGGGAGTCAAGGGGGAATGGGTGCAGCATCTCAGCCAGTGGCCAAAGCGCCTTGATTGCCAGGCTGAGGCACTCAGAGTCATGCATCCTATAAACGGGGAGGAAGCTCCCAGTGGACTTTGAGCAGAAAGTGGCTGAATGGAACCTGAGCTTTACGGGACGGCGGTATCCTGGAGCCCTTGAAGATAAAGAAACTGAGTCTCCACCAGGGCATAGACACACCAGGTCCCGCCTCTAGTCAGGACATCAGGACAGGATTCTAGGTTTCCTGGGCCCAGCTCAGATTGAGGGACAGTCTGGTGCCTCCTGGGGGGAAAGGGCAGGCAGTTCTTGCTTGGTCAACACTGTGAACATTGGTCCCCAAAGGCAGTGCACAAGGTGGAGCTGACTATGAGCGAAGACGGGGAAGAAAAGGAAGACATCACTGACCTCCGGGGCCTCCCGAGGCAACTCATCACTGCTCTCCACTTCAATAGGCCCTTCCTGCTACTGATTATTGAGGAAAGTAGCCACAACCTGCTCTTCATGGGGAAAGTGGTGAATCCTAATGCAGTGTCATAGTCAGGTGACAAGAGGGCATGAATCCCAGTCCCCAACCCCAATCCTCCCAGTGGCTCTGAAGGAAAGGGAAAACCAAGACCAGAGTTCACTGGCACAAGTACACAACATAGCATCTTCAGGTCTGTACAAAGCCCCCTTGAACATTATCCCCATTTCACGGATTAGCAAACCAAGATCCAAAACACAACCTTGCCAATTAAAGGCTAAATAAAGTCACTACTCCAATATCAATCTTCCTCTGAGGATCTTAGACCCAACGTACTCTCCAGCTCACCAGCTTCCTGTCCTCTGCTGGTTTCTCATCTTTTCCTTCACTTCTGATTTTCTCAGACCCTTGCCACCCACATTTTAGCAAGCTATGTTCATTTGGAGGGTCGACTCAATAAAGCAGCAAATGACAGCATGGAGGGGGTGTCCTGATGCTACTGGGCAGGTGTCCCACTGGAAGCCTCCACTGAAAATGACCTCGGATCGTGTTTGTGATCCAGAGAGGGCAGAACTATCCTGTCATTGCTGCCTGCTGGCATCTAACAGGTCTAGAGGTTTACGAAGTGTCAGCTGAGTCTCCGTGTCCTCCACAAGGGCCTGGGAAGGAGAGCACGCAGAGAACATGTCTGGGTATCGTTGATGAATGAGCACGTGGTATTCTGCAGCTCCACCTACAGAAGATGACTGAGCGCAAACACTTGCTAAGCCCCATCCACACTGTCCTCTCCACAAGGGGACCACCTTCTTTGAGACTGCAGAGTAGGCACAGACTTCTTGACAAGTCTCTGTCAGACATCTATCCTCCGTAATTCATTTGGATCAGCATCCATTGCATGTGAAGGCACTGTCCTATGGCCTAAGGATGCAGATGGAGGAGACTGTCCTCATCCTCGAGATCTCATCGTGCTGGTGTGTGTGACATTCGGCCACATTGCAGCCACTCTGAGTGCATGGGCCAATCTTAATAGGGTCCAGGTTCTTACTGGCAGGTGTGTCTGATGGAGCTTAAGCTGAATGAATAAGCAGCCTAGCAGTAGGTCACAGTCTGACCCACTAGGAGACAGGGAGAAGGGGACAGCCTCACCTCCAGCTGGTGCCAGAGAGCAGCTGTGAGTGGACAGGGACCCGTCCAACACCTTTCCTTCCTGCCGCCTCTCCACAGACACTGTCCTTACAACAGCCACCCCCACCTCAAGAACTCCACTCTAAAGCTGGGAGGATAAACCAGCGGTAGAGCATTTGCCTAACATGCAACTTCTGCCTTCTTTCTTTCCATATCATTCTTTTTGTACCCAACTCCAAAGATCCTTCAATCTCACAAGTATGCATAATTCATTCATTCTTTCAGTTTTCACTTCCTTCTCTTCCCTCTGGCACTCGTTGCCCATCTTAACTAACATGCTCAATCATAATCCCCCCCAGCTCCTTTGCTCTTTCCTGGTGTTTCTGGGCACAACCTCCCAACTGTCTCCATTCTCACACTTGAACAGCTCAATGTTGCTAGAGACAAACCACACACACAGGATCACTAAGCTCAAAGAGAGCCTGGATCCTGGAGAGCAGTGACTTTACTTCTCCAGCCCTTTCACCCTCTGTCCTAAATAATTACTCCATACTTTCACTTTTATGCCTTCGCCTCCCACTTCCTTTTCACTCTCAGCTGATGAACTCACGTCCTCTTCCCCTGGCAAAATACATAGCCTGCCCACCTACCTGCAACTGCTCACACCCCTGCCTTCCCCCGTTACACCAGAAGTCCTGCCAAGCTCGAGCTGAGGCCACCCCTCCACTTATGCCATGACTCCATTTTATCTCTCACTCAAAAACACTGTGGCAGTCAGCCTCCTTCTCATTATAAGTCTTCCTCATCACTGGGCTTTGTCTATCAGGCTTCACACACATGTTCTTATTAAAATAGAGAGGTAGGTAGGAGATAGATAACAGATAGACGGATAATAGGTAACAGACACATAGACAGATAGACAGACAGACAGATAATCATTTCCCCTTCCAGCTAATAAACCATTGCTTGAAAAGCATTCAGATAAGGATACCCAGTCAACCTAATTTGCCTGGGAATGAAAAGGTTACAAAACATGTGGTCTCGAGTTTTATAACCAGAAGGCATGGGATGTAGAATTCTATGCTGAAACCAGAAATATTTCTGAGAAAACCAAGACAAACTGTTTATCCCACAAAATACTGTTTTGGGGCTTAGTGGTAGAGTGCTTGCCTAGCAGGCACGAGCTGGGGTTCCACTCCCAGCACTTCAAAAAGAAAAGTCCTCTTTTCACTTTCTTGAACATGCTCCTAACAAGCTCATCTCGTGTCCCCTCCAACCCCATCACTATGACACCAAACTGCTGACCCATCACCCATGATCAATCACCAATTCTTCTACCAATCAGTTGCTATTCTGCTTAAGCATTAGTTGACAGAATTTGTCAATTCCAGCTCTAGAAGGATTTTCATCACTTGGTTTCATCATACCCCTGGTCATCTGGCACCCTTGCCGGCTGCTCTTTCTCAGCCTCCTTTACTGGTCCCACCTCACCTCTCTAACCTTTTACATTTGGGTGTCTCAGGACTTGGTCCTTGAGCTTTTTTCTTTCCTATCTATGCTCACTCCCAAGACAATCTCATCCGGTCTCATAGATGCTCCTAAACTTGTATCTCTAGCACCAGGGTACTCTGAACTCCAGACCCCATCCAGCTACATGCTGGCCATCTCTCTTTGCGATCTGATGATATTTCAAGCTTAACATGTTTACAGCTGAGTTCCTGAGCCCTACAGCCCAAAGTGGCTCCACCTGCCTTTAGTTAACAGGACTTTCATACTTTCAGCTGCTTGGTTCAAATATTTAGACTCATCTCTTTTTCTCACACTGCACTTTGCAGCTGAAAGCGAATACCATCAGCCCTACCTGCAAAATCTATCTTGAGTTGGGGGTGTGGCACAAGTGGTAGAGTGCCTGCTTAGCAAACATGAGGCCCCAAGTTCAAATCCCACCATTGCCAAAAATTGAAAAAAAATTTAAAAACCTGTCTAGAATTCAGCTACCTCTCACCACATTCACTACTCCCTCCTGGTCCAAGGCACCATTATGTCTCTCCTAAACCATTACAACTATTGCCTAAATTAACTTCCTAAAGGTGAAGCAAGGGTAAGGGGGGAAGAAGGAGAGACAGGAAATATGGAAAGGCAGCTAATCCTGTAAGTACCATCTAAGAACTAGAGGGTTCATCACAGCATATAAAATTAGACACAAGAAATAAACTCATATATTAATACTCAGTTTTCAAAACAGATATCAAGAAAATTCATTGGGGAGTGAATAATCTTTTCAATAAATTGACCTGGGACAATTCATATTCCAAAAAGAAAGAGAAAGAGAAGGGGAAGGGGGAGAATTTAAATCCCACCTCATACCACACACAAAAACTAACTCATCATAGCCTAAATGTAAGAGCTAATGTTATAAAAACTTACAGAGTAAACCACGGGAGAAGAATTTTATAAGCTCGGGTTAGGTAAAGCATTCTTATATTTGACACCAAAAGTATGAACAACAGAAGAACAAAAATGATAAAAACAGACTTCACTAAAATAAAAGATACTATTAGGAAAATGAAAAGACAGTGAACCATAACCTTGAACCACAGGCTAATGCTTAATCCAACAATCATCATACCTTTTACCCAACCAAGCTGAAAATGTCCACAAAAAAACCTGTACCCAAGTGTTTATCAGTTTCATTCACAATCACTAAAAGCTGCAAGTAACCAAGATGCCCTCAATAGGTGAATGGATAAGCAAATTGTGGTTACATGCATACGATGGAGTATTATTCAGCAATTCAAAATTAAAGTGATGAAAAGAAATGACTTGTTAAATCACAAGAGACCGGAAGGGTCTTAAGTGCATAGTGCTGTGTTAAAGGAGCTACTGTGACAGGCTACATGCTATGCGATTCCAATTACATGACATTTCAGAAAAGGCAAAACCATAGCAACAGGAAGAAAATCAGTAGTCATCAGGAGTTCAGGGGAGGAGGGAGGAATTGAATAGGTGCAGCAGAGGTGATGAAACTGTTTTGTGTCATGTGGCAATAGTATATTCATGATACTGCACATTTGCCAAAACCTATAAAACATTATAGTACAAAATATGGACCTGAAAATATGCAAAATTTTAAAAAACATAGGAGTTGGGAAATCCCAGGATGAAAAGCAAAATGTGACAAAAGAACCAAATTGTGTCACAGGCATATGAAGCAACTTCACCAAAGGGATGGGGAAAGAGCACTGACCTAGGTGACTTTGGAGTGCGTAAGGTCAACGGCAAAAGAACTTGTACTGTATGCTAGTATAGAACTATGCACTGTGTGCTGGTAACTAAAGTTGTTTGCCACTGGGGTACTGCTTACAATTCAGGTACCACTATATGTGTATCCAGGAATTAAACATTAGCCAATTATAGTAAATGGAGAATGGACGATAGGGACCAGGTTGGAATGGAGGGTGACAGATAATCAAGGTGAAACTAAAAGGACTCAGATCTGGAGACATCAGCACAAACCCAGGTTTAGTTTAATATACTTAGAGTGTTAAACGTGTAAATGCTTACAGATACGTGCGTATACCCAGGTTTGTGTACATGTGTGTATTCCCTTGCTCAGTCAGCTAAGAGAGTCTAGAAGCAATAATACCTCAGGTGCAATGAGCACTTATACTTCCAACCAAGAGCTTCACTTCTAATACCGCCCTCCAGTAAAAATAACCAGGACTCCTTGGAGAAACAGCTGATTCTAGGACCAGGGCAAGGATGTGCAAGATGGTCCAGGAGCACCTACATTGCCAGAAAGCAAAGAAGTACTCTTTAAACCCTTATGATGCTGGGTCATGTCAGTGGGACACAACAGTCAACAGAAAGAGATAATGGCCCAAGCTGGATGTCTTTGAAAAAAATAATTAAAATAGCATCATAGATTATAGTGGTGTGTAGATATTCA